TCACTTCAGATACCATGCAGTCCACACATTTCTGCAGCTGCACAGAAGAAGTAAGACACAGGGTCACAGGTTGCCCCAGATGTCAAGGCTGGTAGAAGCTGGATTTATTACAACATCAACTCTCAGGTCCCAGGGGAGCAATTGCAGTAGAAGACAAGTCCAGCCAAGATGAAGACTGAACCAGGATGGCAAGCTAGGAGAGGACTAGACAGCCTGACCCACACAGAGAAAGTTTACTTTTCAGGCCCAGTGGAGCTAGCTGCATAGCCAAGATAGTGCATATGGAGTGCACTGGGTATCACACAAGATCTAACCACAAAGCAGAAAGGACTTCAGTATTTAAACCCACAGACTTCAATATAGGGAAGCAGTTACTCAGCTAAAGAAAAATGTGGAAAGCTATGACTGTGAGGCCACCCACAAACAGGCAACACCAGAAGCCAGCATCACTGCTAGATAAGAAGCAAGGACAAGAAAGGAGTTTCTGGAGCACAGAGCTGGGTCTCCAGGCAGAATTGTAGCCACTGAGGGCCCATGATGGCTGTGAGACCTGTGGCCATGGAGGAGCAGCACCTGCCACAGAGAGGCTGTGTGAAGCCAGAGGGGAGGGGTCTGCTGCTTTCTCTGACCACCTGTGGGAGTCTCAAAGGAGCCTTGGGGAGAACAGCCCAAGGCTCAGCCCCCACAGACAGGCCAGAGCAGGAGAGGCCCAGGATGGGTCCACCTGTGCTCAGCAGATCCAAGTCAACACTCAGAGCTTCTGGAGCACATACTGGCGGGGGGCTTATGACAGTGTGGGCACTCACAGCCTCTACCACTCACCAGTGCTCAGAACATCTGATACTGGTGGACCACAATCCACATTCTGAATAGCCTGTCACAGAACTGATTCAAATGCAGGAGAGTCTACCCTCAAGAGGAATAAAACACACTCCTTCCAAGAATAAATTATGCAGTCTGTGAGAGACTGTCAAAGAAGTAGGAGAAAGAAAACTGCAATACCTAGGCAAGCACACCCCTGGAAGGACTGCACCCACACAGCCCTTGGTGTCACCTTTCCCACGGGGCCATCAGATGTGAATGCTTCAGGGTTTGCTCTGGGCTAAACTGTGTGGGCCCCAAAATTTATATGGAAGCTCTAAGTCCTACTACTACCTCAGAGTGGGACTGTATTTGGACCTTTAATTAAAGTTAATCAACTGAGTTGATTAAGCTAAAACGAGTCCCTTAGGGTGAGCCCAAGTTCAACGTACTGTGGTCCCTCTAAGAAGAGGTGATGGCAATGAGGACACACAGGGAGACCAGGGATGCAGGACTTGTGTCACAGGAAGACACAAGGGAGGCTAGGCCAAGGAAAGAGGCCTCAAGAGAAACCAATCCTGCCAACGTCTTGGTCTGGGACTGCTGGCCTCCAGAGCATCAGGCAAACATGTTTCTGATGTGTAAGTACCCAGTCTGTGGTATTTTGTTTTCGCAGGCTTAGCGGATAGATATGAAGGTTTTCATTTTTGTTTCTTGCTACTAATGTAGCCTTGTAAGTTTTCACAGCATGCCTGCTCTATGAGAAGCCGGCTCACAGAACAATAAGAAGATTCAGTCCTTGGCCTGCTCCTGTGCCTGCTTTGCATGTGTGATGCTGGCAGATACAGGAAGCGACTAATATTACTAACTTAGATGACTCCCAGTACTGTGCCAGGTGCTGTAACAGTACAGGAGAAGACACAAACCATCCTGAGAAGCTCGGAGATGAGGAGTAACTAGGGCTTCAAGGAGGATTCTGACAGAGGACAGAAAGAGGAAAGTGTCCCCAATGAAGGAGCAACTGCAGTGAAGGCCAAAGGACACCCCAATTCCCTCCTGCACTATGGGCCTGACAGCCATCAGCAGGTTGGAGTTGGAAGGTTGGGGTGAAGGTGACTGGGGACCTGTGTCTTTAAGGGCCCACAAGAGACTCTGGATTTTAGAAAATGAAGATTAATAAAAACAAAGAAGGTAGACTAAGGGGCAAGAAAGGTAGATATAAAGAACAATAATAAAACTCTCTCTCACTCCCCACTGCCCAAGACCTGCCTCCTAAAGACAAACACAGCTCTGCCGCCCACTGCTTCCAAAGCAATCCTGAATACTTACCATCCCTGAAACTGTTACCTTGCATGTGAGAAGGAGGTTGCCACTCACCCAGGCTGAGAACAGGGTACAGGACAGTGATGGATGAATGTCATGACCCATTGAGTCAGAAAGGGAACTAAACCCTGAGATCAAATTCTGAATTCCTCAGAACAAAACCTAAGGCACCAACTCATCCTGCTGAAAGCAGCTCTGCTAAAAACACACAGTTCCCCATTAGCTTGTCACTGTCCCTCTCACACTTACAGAACAGGGCCACAGGCTTCACTCACTCACAGCAAGGGAAGCCACAGACCAAGTGTAAAAAGAAGGGAACAAAGTCACTCCTTGCTTTTGAGCATCCAAGAGCTCAGGATGTGGTGATGTCCAGATGAATTTAAGAGACTTTCCAGGGTAATCCTGACTTCAAGGGACCTCAAACCTACACACAGACTACGCTCCTACCCTTGCATGAGCATGGGCTACCTATATTCCTAAAGCCACACTCCCCGTGATCTGTGTTGATAAACTAACCCCAACTCTCGTAACAAAAACAGGAAATGTAAATGCACAACAACTATCTGATGCCAAGTCAGGATGGGAATTATTGGTACAATTTGTGAACTGATGGAACACACAGCAGAACAACAATTTCTAGAGAATGTTTTCCAAAGAAACATTTGATTAACCTTCTCCTTCATCCTAGTCACAGGTCTTCTGATCAGAGGTGAGATAGCAGAAAATGACCACAGATGTAAAGCACAAGTGCCAGCAGAAAAATCTAACATGGGCTTGTGAGAATGAGAGGAGAGAAACATGAAGCAGCATTTGCCTTTCTTATAACCTTTAATGCCTAGCATGAGTTATATTTTTTCTTTTCATCCAAAAAGTTGTTAAAAAATAAAGATAATGAGATTTATGAAAAATGGAACTAGAGGAGGACTTAGCTCTAAGCCCCATAACCACCTTATGAGAAAAAGCAGAAGAAAAAGCTCAGGTTTGAATACTGTGACCTTCAGAGCAGACACTCTGCTGAGATGTCATAAAGCTCAGTGTAAAACGACAGTGTGGGCTTGAGTGCATAGCTCCTGACAGAGTGCTTGCTGAGGATGTGCAAGAGCTTGGATACCAACCAAGTACCACCACAAAACAACAACACAAACCACTACAGTGACAAGGGGAGACGGTGCAGCAACAGCAACAGCAGCAGCAGCAGTTTAAATCTTTCCACTGACCACTGCAGTGCCTCTGGTGCTGTCAGACACTGTACTCCCACAACCTTCCAAAGCACTATCAGCGATGGTTTCTTCCTCAAAGGGACCAGATATCAGCCTCCCTCTCTGGCAGACTTCCTGAGGAAAGTTACACCGTAACATGGAAGGGCATACGACTTGGGCCTCAGGCACTGTGACACAATCTCTGAGAGTGGCTGTAAGTGAAACACCAACAAATAAGTGTCTCTTTAGTAATGCCTATTTTGTATCTGAATACTCTAAAACATAAGTGAAGTCTTTACTTGGTTTCATGCACTAAAATCCCTCGATAAAAGTGGGCTGCAGTGTAGCTCAGCAACAGAGCACTTGCCTAGCATGCATGAAGCCCTGGGTTCAATCCCTAGTCCAACCCACCAACACAATCTCTAAACAAAGAATATACTGCAGAACTAGAAACTCGAAACAGTAAGGCATAGTCATCAGCCAGGAGGAGAGAGGAGAAAACCTGGATGTGAAAGCCCTCACCTAGTGCTTTTGGTAGTCAATAGAATAAATCCTTAGGACCATCATAAGCTACTGCCATCTACAACCTGAACACAACTTCTGATCCAGGGCAAAACAATCTTTCTGACCCCAGAGCAGACCAAGTCACAGTGAAGGTGCAAGGTGAAATTTATGTAGTATAATGCTGACCCTATTCTTTGAAACCGGCATTAGATATAGACCTCAGCAGCTAATTCAGGCCTTCAAGTCTGTTTCCATGAACCAACCAGTGACAGATGTGCCACAGTCATGTGAAGGAGATCCAAGTAAGGGCTCTACTAACACATCCTGGTAAACCTGATCTATCTAGACTCCCCATCCTCAGAGGGAGATTTTCATCCTCTAAGGCAGCTCTACCTTGATGGCCATGAAAAGCAAATCTCAGACTCTAAAGTCTCTATCCTCTGAATCTCTTTCTCTTGTGTATAAAATCAGCCTGACACCACATCAAAGCACAAAAGTGGAACCTGAACTTCAAACCTGGAGTAGCTGCCCCTCAACAGATACAAAAGCTTTTCTAGCAGGTAAAAAAAAAAAAAAAAAAAAAAAAAAAAAAAAAAAAAAAAAAAAAAAAAACAAAAAAAAAAAAAAAAAAAAAAAAAAAAAAAAAAAAGAAAGAAAGAAATACAAAGAAACTCTTAGTGTGAAGTACAGATCATGAGAAATGAAGGCCATTACCAACATTCTTTTACAAGTAAGTGAGTCTTGCCAGAAATATGCACCATCACAGTCTCGTCCTTGAAAAATATTTTCCTAGGAAATTACTAGTTCAGAAATTTCTGAAATCCAGCCACGCTAAGCCAAAATATTCTATATTGTCATGGACAAGTTTTTATTCACTTAACATATTGCTTTTATATTGACTCTAATACATGCTGAAAGACAAGTAGTTGGCCTTGAATAATAGCACTCTAATACATGCTAAGTCAAAAATGGAAAAAGTGAAATAACATAACCTGTGTATGTTAAGACACAGAGCTCTAATGTCTAATAACCTGTCTTTTTCTTCAAAATCAAGCCAGAAACTCCTTGCAACCAGTCATTAATCAGCTCCACTGATCTTACCTTAAGTAAAGCACACAGTGTCACATTTTATTAAAATAAATAAAACTTTACCTACTTATTTACAGTCCTTACTTTCAAAATATTTTGGGTCTCATTCCACTTGTTTGTCCATTCCTTAGTCAATTCTTGAACCTAAAAGGAAAAATATATACATGCTATCACTTCATTGAAAACATTGGTATGATTTTCATAATAAAGTTTCCAAATGCTTAAACCTTGTGGAAAGAAGTATTATAATTTTTTTAAATTAGCTTACAATTTCTACTATGGAAAGAGCCACTACCAAATATGTCAAATAAGCTAATCTCACCGTACAGCCTATGACAAAGGAAAAAGCTAACAGAAATTTGTCAAGTTGCGTAGAATTTTACAAAAGTCTTTTTCATACCATCTTTAATTAAAAGCTGCTTCTTTGAATTATTAACCAAAATTACAAATTCAAGGATGACAGGGTCCCATTAAACAGGTTAATTTTTCCTGACTATACTTTAGGTCCTAAGAAAGACTGACTTACTTTCCTTTCTAATTAGATGTGGCGAATCACCTTCAATGGTGCAGTTTTCTTTTAGGAGATAATTTGTTTTTGTAACTAATTAATAGGGTTTATAAATCTCATTCTATCTTTTTTTTAAAGTGGTTCTTTAATGGACTCTCTTAGTAAAATCAAAACTCTTTTGATAAAAATCAGCTTTTCCCATCGCCTATAACTTAGGGGAAAAACATACCCAGTTGTTAGACACAGCACAGTTAGAAATTGCTTCTCAAAGTTAACGGAAATTTTCTGCTACTTTCAGAAAACTTTTTAGATGATCTTAGCAATTAATTTGTTGAGAAGCATAAAGTGATACCTGAATTGAGGGGTAGGAAAAAAAAACAGAAATGAAAAATGCATTCTGCGGGAAGGAAATACAGAGGGCTAAAAGAGCAGCTTCAGCCAGGGGAGCCCCTGTCCTTTCAGGCCCTCACCTTTCTGTTCCTGTGTCCACCCGCCCTCCTGCTCCCAGCAGCAGACAGCAAGTAACCCATCTAAACCTCCTGCTCCCCATGGGCCCCTGTGTGACCAGGCCAGGCAGAGGCACAGATCACACAGCCTGTCCTTTCACTGCTAAGAGAAAGGTGCTTCCCAGGGCAATGTGTGGGCCATCTTGATGACAGAAGATGCGCTCCTGACAGCAAACAGAGGCTGAAAGTGACAGTTTATCCGAGTGAGAAACCATGGTACACATCTCACCCACCCACGCTCAGTTACGCACCAGGCATTCATTTCACTCCTCCTCAACTTAGCTCCAAAAGGACTGTGGGGTTCTAAGTTTAAAAAAACAGTTATGATTCTTCTTTTACTAGTTATTAGTATCAAACTCAATTCTTGGTGTAAGACAAAAAGAAACAGGACAGAAAGAGCCCCTCTGACTTTGCTTTGCTTGTCTCTAAGACCTTGGCAAGACTACACTGATTTATCTGAAGCCATTCACACTGCACACCTTCACTGAAACCCATTCCAGGCTCTGAGCAGTAACGAAAGTCATCTGGCTATCGGGACTTGAGATTCGAAGAGAGAGAATATACTTGTGTTTCTTCTCCCCACAGAAAGGAAAAAGACTGGTACACTGAATCTACTAATTTATGCTAACTAGTGAACAGATTCTCATTGGCAATTTATCCTCTAATAATCTAAACCATTCAACAAATAATTTCATAGTTCACCAACAGATACATTCTCACTGAAGCAATGCAAATCAATCAACCTTTATTAAATTCAGTCATATAACTCTAGCTTTAAAAGTTACAAGTATGCCTGGGATTTACTTTATCACTGTATTTAAATCAAGAACGCTTCATTTAAAACATTAATAAAAATACACACGTGATACCACCCCTAGCAATGTGATAAGATACGAGATTTACAGTTAAACAGATGGCAAACAATTTTAAAAGGTCAGCAAGAAACTAGACAAAAATTTAGAAAATGATATAAACAAGATAAGTCGTTCTGTCACAGCATGTATAATGCATTCAAATTAAAATGTTTTACTACTTTCTATTAACTTGCTAGCATTCATAAACACTATAATTGAAAAATAATTTAAGACCATATCCAGATATTTCATTGCACTCAAAATTAGAATCTGAAGCACTAAATTATACATTTTCAGGAAAAAAAATAGAGATTAAGAAATATATGTTTTTACTAATGCTGCTATCAGCATATTAACTTACATAGTCAACAAGTTCAGAACTATGACTCCATTTAATATCTTCCATATTGTGTTCTTCAGTTTTTACCTCATTGTTTTAATCATTCAGCATCAAGAATAAAAATTTCACTCCAAAAATTGTTCTTAATATCTATTTCTCATTCCCCAAAAACTGTTTTTTGTTTTTCGGGTTTTTTTAATAGCATGGAACCTTAGCCACAAAACTGGTTTTGAAAAAAACCGCAGCACACACTGTTGGCTTCAGCCCATCCACACAGGGCTGCTTTGTCCCTGCTGAGCAGCTGAACTACATATCTACCTGCATTATTCAGAATGCCGTGTGGTGTGTGACCCACTGGAACAAGAGATAAAAAAGAGCTACTGGTGCTCAAGGCTGAGAAGTGGGGACCACTGCTGCCTCATCAGTGCTGAACACAGCCTCTTGCCTGGCCCAAGGTCTCCTGTCTACTCTGACAGCCCCAGTGGCCTCACTGCCTGGTCAGAGGGACTCCAGGTGAACTCAACTGCACTTAGCCATCCTGTGCCACTCAAATCCCATTATGAAGCATAGACAATGTATGCAATACATAAAAAGCCAACTATAGTGCATCTTTAAAATGATCACGAGGATGAAAACAGGAGAAGTTTCAAGAAGAAAGAGAGTATGTGTCAAAGAAGAACTGGAAAGCATGGACCTAAAAACATGTAGTATATAGTTGGGTATAATGGTGCATTCTGGGAGGCTGAGACAGGAAGACCACAAGCTGAAGCCAAGTCTGGGCAACTCAGTGACTGCATGAGACTCTTTCTCAAAAAAAAAAAAAAACTACTTTATTAACTGCTGTTATTTTCTTATTATATTGTTATGAAATTTATTTTTATTTTTTCATAACATTAAAAAAAGAAACTTTGAAGTTAAAATGTTGACACAAAAGAGAATTTCTGATTATGAACTAATCTTAACAAAAAAAAATACCAAGGTTTTTAAAGAGGGGTTAGGCTGGGGATGTAGTTACTGCAAAGGCTCTGAGTTCAATACTTAGTACCACCAAAACCAAAGAGAAAATTGTGAAAGATGTGATTTTTAAAATAAGAGAGGGAGGGAAAGAGAAGTAAAAAGAATTAAGATGGTTATATACATGTACCAACTTTGAACAATGAATGTAACCATTACATGCTGCAAACGTACTAACAAAAATTATTTAAAAATAACAAGTCAAACTATCACTTACTCTTGCTTCGTTCTGCTGAAGTTTCTCCTCCATACTTAAAGCTGTGGGGGAGTCTAAGAGGGCAATCTAGAATTTAAATCACAAAAGACGGGCAGCAATTAAACAGCAGTTAACTAATACACAGCAATAATGTACAGTAAGGATTTTCTCATGAATTCAGTAAATTACCAAACATTTCCACAGAAACTCAGTGGTAAAAAGTAATGTGACGTCCCCTCAAAAAAGTGCCAACTGTCACCCAGTCTCTACTCCGTAGGACACATATCTCACAATATCCAAAACTGGGGCATCCCAATAAGCCTGCATTTGCAATACAAGTCAGAAAAACAGAAGGTGTAACATAGTGACATTACCAACACAAAGTCAAACACAATCTAAATCCCTTTGCCTTAAGGACTCATCCATGTGAATGTGCTGATAATACAAAATCCAAGAGGTGAGATGCCTAGGTCTTGCTCAACCATAGCTTCTGAGACACATCCATGGTGAACCATGCATTTAGCATCCAGCATGGCCATACCACAATCTATCTATCTGTTTCCTTATCCAGACTACCGGAGTATAAAGATTTATGTGAAATCAGGTTAGAAGAGAGAGGGACAAGTGGACAGGAGAGGAACATGGAGCGAGGCCTAGGCTCCAACTATACTCCAAACATTTCCATTCTGACCTGAGTGGTCGGAATGTGTGCTCCTTCTTCTGTCCACCTTTCTCCCCGAGCTATCACAGGAAGAAAACTACAAGGTAAGATCCCTCCCCACCCCACCCACCAGCAACCACTCTTTTAGTTTGTTTGTATACTTGGAGTTATTCTAGTCACATGCAAACATGTTTTTGTTGTGTTTTGAAACATGAGTAAAAATGCTACTTTGAATATTGCTTTTTCAATCAACAATAGAAAAAACTCAGTTAAAATACAGTATCACATAGTATTAACAGTCTATAATTTATGTTTGTAATCTCCTGTTTACATAGTGTTTTTTTTCCTAATCTTTTGCTTTACCAGCAATGCCACAGTGACTATTGTACCAACTGCCTTCAGTATACACAGTTCTATCAATAGAATAAATTCCTAGCAGGGGATTCATGAGTCCTCTATATGTATGATTCTTTTTTAATTTCCAAGTTGTCCTGCCCAAAAGCTCTAGCACAGTTTTCATTACTGATTAACTTTCTAATTTCTACTCAAATAAAAATACCCACAGGGTGGTCTTCCTAGGCTCTGTCAAATGCCACACTGATGTGCACAACAGAGAGCAGAGTTGGCTGGTGGGAAGAACAGGAATTCACTTGGTGGTGAGAGCCACACTCTTACTTCATTTTTCTGTTGGGTTGTGAATTGGTTAGCTTTCCTATTGCTGGGATGAATATATCAGAGCCACAACTCAATGGTGGACAGGTTTAATTTTATATATTTTAAGGCAATTCAGTACATGATCAATTGGCTCCAAGGAAGGATCACCATGGAAGAAGGGCATGATGGAACAAAGCTACTTCGTTCATGGCAACTGGGAATCAGAGTAGGGGACTCAATATCAGAGAGGAAAGTGCAAGGGACCAGACACATATCCCGAGGCCACACCCTTGACCCATCCAGACACACCCAAAACTGTGCTCCACCAATACTCCAGGTGGATTCCAAAGCCATCAAATTGACACTCTACCCTAAATGCCACATCCCACCCCTTGTCAACTTCATAACCAAACACATCTCCTTAAACCACACTTAATGACCAAATTATGTTGATGACCAAAGTAAGTATGTTAATAATTTCAACTAACATAATACAACCATCCCACATACAACCAGAAATGCAGTAATCCATTCCCCAAGGTCTTAACAGGTCAGCATCTCTCAAAAGTCCAAGATTCTTCTGATACTCAAGGTAAACTCTTACCTATGAATTTTTGTAAAAATAAAAAACAAGGTACAATGGCACAGGGTAAACATTCCCATCTCAAAATGGAGGAATAAGAAGACAGAAAACAAAGAGAACAATGCAAGAATAAAATTCAGCCAAGCAAACATTAAGTCCTGTAGCTCCATATCCCATACCTACATCCAGGGCACAAAGGAGTAAAATATGAGTCCCAAAGGGCTTGGGGAACCCCACCCCTATGATCTTGCTGGTTGTAGCCCATACAGCCTCTCTTTTCAACAGGCTTCAGCCTGTTGGATTGCATCTTTCCTCAGTAGAAGTTCCATTTTCCTGGCATCTCCAGCTTCCTGGGGTCTCCACTGTACCTTTGGCTTCATTCCCACAGCTTCACACATTGCTCTCTCATGGACTCCTTGCCTAGACTCCCAGGCCTTCCTTTGAAATGTGGGTGAAAGACTTCCTAGCCCCACAACTCTCGCATTTTACATACCAGTAAAATCAGTATCATGTGGGCAACGCCAAGATTGGATGTCAGCTCAACCACTAGCAGGGCCTCCTTGGCCCACAGATAAAGCAGCCTCTGAGTGTCTGAATGACTGAGCAAAGGGAAATAATTAATAGGATACCAATTCACTAGGCTGTCCTTCTCAAGTAAATATCCCAAAAACTCTCCTCTCAAATAAGATTCACAGTTTTATGACTTTGAGCTTTCAATAGATGGAGTCTTGATAATTTCTAAGATGATCTTGAGGCATCTTTCTTCTTGTCCCTGTGCAAAGTACAGGGACAATGCTGTACTTGCTGCTAACCTCTTCAGCAACCAGGCCTCCTTTGGCCCTAACATGGTTTCTTTTGGGTCAAAGTTTCACTTTTTCCATTTTTTCTGCTCTGTCTTTTTGTCCTCAGTTCTCACTATAAATCTAGATAAAAGCCACCAGCAGTAGCCATTCTATAATTTCCACTGCCCTTAATCTCCCGCAGTCTCCCACATAGACTCAAACATGGGCAAAATACAGACAAATTTTCTGCCATACTAACACAAATGACCTGTAATCCAACTGCCAATGGACCCATTGTTCCCAACTAAAACCTCCTGAACCTGGCCTTTACTGTCTGCATTCCCATCAGCATTCAGGTCTTCTGAAGTTAGACCAGAATTACGTATCAGACTCTGTTTAGAGCATTCTGAAGTTTCTCTAGCCCACATCTCCCAACTTTTCAAACTCTACTTGAAAAATACATCCAGAGACTTCTAAATGACATCATCAGATACAGTCAGGCAATGGCCCCACTTCTCTAGTACCAAATCCCACTTTTTGAACACAATATCCAACACTTACAACTTAATAATGGAAGAGAGATTTAGTTTGGCTCATATTTTAAAGCAATTCAATCCACTGTCAGCTTGCTCCAAGGCAAAAACATCATGGCAGAAGGATATGGTGGAGCAAAACTGTTTAGTTCACGGCATCCAGGAAGCAGAGCAGAACAGCGGCAGAAAGGAAGGAGCAAGGGACCAGAAATACAATTCTATGCTTCTGTGACTCACCAAGACACATCCAAGGTATACTGTAAAGTCAATCAAGTTGACATTCCACCCGAAATGTCATAGGGTTATGATGTTATCTTTCTGTAGATATTATTTTTATAATAAGGAAAATAGTCTTTCATTATATGAACTGAAACCTTTGCCCTACTCTGTACTGTACTGAGTAATTTCCATGCTGTTAGGTGCATATGTCATGTCCTCACTTACTTCTGTCTCATGTTTCCTGTGGCAAATGTGTATAGCTCCGTACACTGCTATTTCCAATAATTTTATTGTTGTTCCCCCTTATGAAAGGTGATGTCATTTCTGATTTTGAGAACTGTACTCTGTCATGACAATGTGATCAATTTTTTCTTTCTCCTTGGATTACTGAGGCCTTTACCCATTCTTACAAAAAACAAAAACAAACAAACAAAAAAACAAAACCTGAGCTCTACTCTGTGATACTATATCAGATGTGTTCATCTTGAAAGTTTCTACATAGGGCTACTTCTATTACCTAAACTTTGTTGGTTCCAAATTGAAAAAATGAGGAATTCGTTCTACTTTCATCTTCTCTACATCAGTATGTTCCTTGATGCTTAACTTCTGTTATTTCATTTCTGTATTGTTTAATTTATCTGTCTCCAGATACATTCAAGACAGATAAAGTCAAGATATTCTCTCTGCCAAATTAAAGGCAGAAGTACCTAAAAATTGTCAAAATATAATAAATGAATAAATGCTTTATGAGAGAAAATATCCAAATGTTCAGCTTCACTAATTCTCTGAAAAGTACAAAGTAAAATCATCCTGTCATACTGGTATATAATCATCAGTGTGATTACAATGAAAAATGGACAAAACTAAGCACTATCAAAGATCTGCAGCCACTAAAACTGGAACCATTATACACTGATGGTGGAGCAGAAACTAGTATAGCCACTTCTAAAAATTGTTTGGTAGTATCTACTAAAACTGAGCATACATTTAACTTTTAACCACTAATTCCACTCTTAGGCACAAACCTCACAGAATTGCATCAGTATATTTATTGAAAGAAAGTCTGGCAGCATGTGTAGCCACAAATAGGAAAATGTCCCTCAAAAATAGAATGGATAAATGAGCCGGGACAGGCTATATGATGGAATAGAAAACACACTGAGGGAGACCTACAACTACATCTAGTAGTGTGGATGAACCATAAACACAAGCCTTTGCTCTGTAAGTCAAGAAGGTTACCCTTGAGAGGAAGGACAGGAAGTTCCTAGACAGGAGCTTTAAGGGCAGCTTCTAGGATACTGGTAATGTCTTGTTTCTTAAGGTGGGTGCTGGCTAGATGGGTGAATTGGGTTTGTGAACATTCACAGAATGATACCATTTTCTGTATTTTTATATAATACTTCACCAGAGATTTAATATAAACATACATTAAAACTATCAGATCTACACCTATGAAATAGAAAGTGCAAGTACAGTATATGCCAGAATCTTCTGCTTTGTACATTGTGCTTTTTTTTTTTTGGTAAGGGATTTAGCTCAGTGGAACCTTTCCTGCCTAAGAAAGGCAGTTTGATCCCTAATGCTGGAAAAAAAATTGTGCTTTTAAAACTCTGATGCGTGACTATTTGCAATGACAAATACATAAAATTATTAAAAGAGCTGACTTTCATTTAACTGTGCTCAAATAACCTTAGAAATGGTATACTGAGAAACATTCTCAATGAACCCATGTGGCATCTGGCATAAAATATTCCAGGAATACAGCAATGTCCTCAGTATGACTTATACAGAGATTTTTAATGAGCATTTAAGAACACCTGCTTATTTCATTAAGCATTGCAAATTTAATTAATTTAGGAAAAGCCTCTATTATTGTCTCACAATAATTTATATCTTCAGAGTAAGAGAAATCATTTTAAATTCAATGCCCATGTTCATTATAATGGAGATATTAAATTTATCAAGGAATTTTATCTTCAGTATGTTCTAAAATAGACTTTCCCATCTCAAAACAACAGTAATAAGAATAATTCATTTACTACAGCATAGTGTCAGCTCATAAAAGAAAGGAAAAAAGATTACAAAATATAAAGCAAAAAGTTGGCATATCAATTTTATCAAAGACATTTTTAAGACTATTTGTGAAAGTTTTAATATAATAAAGTCTTTTCTGGCTGTATGATAAGGCTCCTCTCAGTTTAGTTAAAAAAGATTGGTCTCTATTTTTCTCTTCATTCTCTTAACTCCATAAAAGATTAAGAATAAGATGCTATATTTTCAATTTTCCAAATATTCTCCTTCACATATAGTTCTTTGAATAATATTATGAAATCATCTTTAAATACTTACTTTAATGTTTTTAAAACAATGAAAAATGATCCCAGCAACAAAATGTATAAATAAAATTAATGCTGGGGTTCAGGTTGTAAGATAATAACATCCAATGTAGCTGAAGTGTCCGTTCGGTTAACTTTCACATGCAGGAAGCCCCACACCATAGAGTAAAAGGTGTGGAGACATTTTTAAGCACAATGAAACATTCCTATTGCTGCTGTCTTTCCAAGTGTATTCAGGATGCAGGAGACTCAAGGGAGTTTTCTTTTCTTGTCAATATTTTCATAGACCAAACCACTTATGGGATCTCAAGAGCTTTAAGTATCATAGATTCCTACATGGAAAGCACTGCTCTAGAAACCACTTCATACTTAAAGAAGCCTTTCTTTCTATGATACACTTAAAGCCATTCATGACTTACTAAAACATGACAAAATATATCTTTGTTTCCAATTCCAGCCTAATTTCACCCATTTAAAAAGGCATCTTTGACTCTCTTTCAAGGGCAATCTCTCTTCTAGCCCTACCAGAACTGCATGCACGCTATGTAACACAGAAAAGAAGTGAATGTACACTGTAAGAAACTACTTACACTGTAAGAAAGTTAACGCAAAAGCACAAAATGACCAGGCTTTTTATCTAGAATCCCAAATGATCCCGAAGAGCCATCTCAAATAATCAAATAGGGCCCCAGGGAAAGCAGCACAGCTAGGACACAGGTATCATCTCACGTGTGTCACTAAGTCTCTAACCACCTCTGTGATGGGTGATGTGGAGAGTCAGAAAGGTATCAGACAAGTCTTTCATTCCATTAAAACACATTTTAAAGTCATAAAACGCACGGGTAGAACTTTAAGTATTACTCTAAGCATCTCAATTTCATTTCAGTGATGGAGATTATGCTGCTAATCCTATGCATGCTAAATTTCTATTCATAATTGATAACTACTAGATAGTTAATCATTTCAGATTTAGTGGGTAAAATCTTCCTCACAGAATATATAATGAATGCAAAGACCAACGGAAGGCTGATGTGAAGGAGAGACTGGCTAACTCATTTGGAGCTTTACTTAGCACTTATTTACTCAAATCAATACACATTAGATAATTTTCTCATTAAGATCTAGAAATAGATGCCATTACTCAAAGAAAATTATCCATAAATCTCAGAAAAACCCAACCTGATTCCCTTGAGCAAGCAGTGTTTTCAGCCTGGCTATTTCAGCTCGCAGCTCACGGATAAGTTTGACGTTGGCATCCTCGTTAATGGTAGGCTTGTTGATGATGTTTTTGGCTCTATTTGCATAGCGAAGAGTACTTAGGGTTTCTCCATAATTGACATCAGCAGGTGAAATGGCTGTAAAGAATGAATGCAAAAAATCATTTATCCAGCACTCCATGTGTCATTTAACATAAAGTTGGTTTATAATTTAAAAGTCAGATTAACCCCAGGTCATTGGATAAACTAAATATTCATTGTCACAGTAATGAATATTAAACATTTTCTAAGATTCACAGGCAAGGATATTCACTATACCAAATTCAATGTTATTCTGCTCTTCTCAAGATGAGAATCAACCACCTAACCATTTAAATTGTAAATGTTTAAAATAAGACACAATACACTCTCCACCCCAGTTAAGGAGTTTTCTCAGTTGCTAATATAAAAAGAGGATTTCAAGACTACATGCACTTATCAACATTAGGCATGATTAAAATACTCTTAAAATTTCAGGCCAAGCTTACCATCTGTAAAAATCTAGTGCATGATAATTTTTAAAAGAGTCAATAGACTCATTCTTTCCTTCTGGAAGGTTTTAACCCCTTGCCCCACTACCACCACCAAACATTAAGGCTGGGGTGACTCACAATTGTGAATGGAGCTTGTGCCCCAGGTCAGATCCCTGGCCTCCTACTTAACCACATGCCATGGGTGCAACACCGAAGGAAGACAAGGAAGGAAGAGCCCAGATGGGAAGCAGGAAAAGACAGCAGGATGAGTGGGCAAGTTTCTGAGTTCTCACCAACAGTTATCTGCACTTTCTACCTATTTTTCTCTCTTCTGCTTCTTTTAGTCAAAATGTGTAAATACAGTATATTATTTATCACTATTTATTGTTGTTTTACTCAAATTTTATTTTAAATCCCACCTCTCCTACTTTAAGCAGAAAAATAGTTACGTTTTCACTCATGGTCCTATAATGACTTTATTCTATGAGGTAGTGAAGCTGGACATTTCTACCGCACACTTTATTCAAAGAAAAACTAAGTGTCTTGGCATGTGATCACAGCTTCTGCAACAGGGCAAAGGCTATGTAGCAGCTAACGACAAGAGCTGCAAACTGTATATGCTGAGTGACTTTCAAGACAGAAAAAAAACATTATATTTTGAAGAAATAAAAGGTGCTATATCCTAATGAGACACTTTAAACCTAAATATTTAGAGTTAATTCACAGGAAACACTGGATGCTCAAGAAAATAACTGAAAATCTTACTGGCAATCATAATAGTTTTAGAGTTTCCTCCAAGGCTATCTTTCAACAACCAAGTCAAAACAGAATCCCTGTAAGGCACAAAAACTTGCTTCTTCTTTACAAGAGGGTTTGTTGCATCCTGAGATAAATCAGCTGTAGGGAAGAAGGAAATAGGGAAGAAGAAAAGATATATTAATAAAGGTTTTATTTCCCCTCCAATTTTGCACAAAAACCCCTGAGGATAGTATTACCTATTTGCAAAACAAACATTAAACATAATTGGTTCATGCTAACACAGTACCACAAGGAAAAAGAGGCTGCAGGAGGCCAGCACACACTTACCTAAGGCAGAAATGACATTTCCCAGAGTCACAAGGGACTTGTTAATGTTCCCCCCTTCCTTGAGCCGGACCCCCGTGGCACCAGTGGCATCCGCACGTTCACTTCCAGCAAGATCGACTAAGTGGATCTTACTCACGGTTTCACATGGCATTTCAGAGTCAAACTTTGCCTGTGGTAAAATATAAAAGTAAAACTGAAGGGGCACAAAGAGCCCTCATGTTGTTTATGATGCAAATTCTAATTATTTTTCACTCCTCACTGAGATCTCTCAGGATGTATCTTTTTTTCATTTTGTTGTTATAGTGCCCTTCATGCTGATTATATAAAAACTTCCAAAATTAAATTCAATACAACAGAAGTCTGCCATGTGTGACTCTCAAGCCTTCTGAAGAACTATCCCACTTCTGAAATCCCCAGTTACTGTCAACAGCGCCTGACCAAACCAGAGCATGGCAGGATATGGAACCAGGTGCTAAGGGGCCCTCAAGAAAGCAAAGTGTAAGTAAACAGCTAGCTTCTTCTCATCTAGAATCTCTAGCATTCCAACACAGAGGCTCTCCAAAATAAGATAAACGTAGACAATTATATAAAAATCATTTCACCATTTTTGGATGTTAAAACATTTTCTCACTTTTTTTTTTTTTGGTACTGGGGATCAAACTCAGGACGTTGCGCTTGTGAAGCAGAAACACTGAGCTAAATCCCCGGCCCCCTTTTTTTTCTCACATTTTTAAAAAATGTAAAATACTAAATAAGATATTCCTTGATTTTCAATTCTATCCATATTTTACTTTTCCACAGACTTTTGTTTTATATTTTGATCCAAAACTCAAAAAAAACAACCCACAGATTTTACTAAAAATGTAAACTTATCAAAAACTAGAAACTAACATCTGGATCAGACATTCACCAGAAAGCAGGAGGAAAAGCAGTAAGTGCACCTAAGTCAAAGCAAAGTCTACCAAAGAGTAAAACTGTGGGAATGTATGGAGAGGCATTCTGATTGACCTTAGAGAAATGTTCCATTTCCCTGCTTTCTGAGCCTCCTCCTTAATACAGTCTTGTCATTTCTGATGTGTTCAACTGTCAAAGTGTGCGAGAATATCTGACTCCTAACTCGTGCTATGGCCTGACAGGAGCCTCCCTTTGAATCTATTGGGTTCTACTGCTCTGTGCCCTCAATCACTTCCACACAGGTTAAAGATGCTCTCTACCACTTGACAATAATGAATTCTTACACAAGTACTCATAGATGCTTGTGGTTCTGTAATGTCATCTTAATAATCATAATCCATTGTGAGGTGAGCTCCACACAGTGATAATGTACTGCACGATTCCTCACCTTGGCCTCCAGCTGGTCTGACTCACAATCCATTATCTCCACAGGGCTTGTGACAATGAAAACTTTTTCTTAATGAGGTAGAGTGAGGCTTTTTTTTAACATCTTGAATAAGGTGGAAGCCTACTAAATATTTCTTAAGGGGTACACATCAGGACATTTAAAATTACTGATTATAACCATGGTGAAACTCAGCACACAGCACATGTTCCGCTCTAATTAACAAGAAAATGACAGCCAGTCACCTTTGCTTGCTGCCAAGGCTGGTTCAAGAATGATGAGTCCTCAGATGGTGCTAATGAGGAAGTAAGGACCACAGGGATGGAGCCAGCCAGCTGCTCACCGCCCAGCTTTCCCTACCTGAGTGAACTTGATGGTGAAGATGGCATGAGACCTGCTACTGACGTCGTTCATCCCAGTTGCTGCTGTGGTTCGATTGATATTTCCTGCATCCATCAGTTCTTCCACATCACCATAATTCTGTACTAAATGTTTGGATAAATCTGAAGTAAAGAAAAGTAAGGAGTGAAGAAATTTTCCCATTACACAGTAAATGGAATAAAAAAGTCCCCTTGATGAAATAATGCATAAATTATTCTTTACAAATCTGCTGTAAGTTTATAAAGATTTTACTTGTTTCTGTAGGGTGGTGGTTTATTAACACAGACTCCGGCTAGGACAAGTTGGTTACCATCACTAGGCCTCTGCTACCTCATCTGATAATGTGTAGCTATTACACAGATACTGTATTTAGGATAGATGCTAGGTGCTAACAACACCTCTCCGAATTAATCACACTACCAAGAAAAGTAATATAAAAGCACTACTTTTATGTAAAACCTAAAAGCTGCCCCACCGCCACCCCCACCCCAGTACCGGCAGTTAAAGCCAGGGCTTTTGCACTGAGCTACATTCTCAGCCCTGTTGTTGTTGTTGTTGTTGTTGTTGTTGTTGTTGTTGTTGTTGTTGCCATCACTGTTGTTGTCTTTGTTGTTTTGAGACAGGTCTTACTAAGTTACTGAAGCCCAGACTGGGCTTGAACTTGGAATCCTCCTGCCTCCACCTCCTAAGGTATTGCAAATACCACATCTGGCTAAAAGCATTATTTTTAAAAGCCTTTTTAGAGGCAGGAGTATTGGAGCACACCAGTAATTCCAGCTTCTCAGGAGGCTGAGCCATGAAGATCACAAGTTCAATGCTAGCACAGGTGAGACTCTGGATTCAATCTCCAATGCCAAGGGGATAAAAGAAGATTTTTGGAGCATTCATATAGCTCTGAAATCAAAAGCCCCACTGTGCAGGGAGCCTCTACTCTTCTCCTATAGCTCCCCCTCTTCCCTTTTGTGATAAGTGTCTGATTATCAACTTTGCTGGATTAAGACACAGTAGGAAATTAGTAAAACATACTTCAGTGTCTGTGAAGATGTTTCCAGAAGCTATTGGCATGCGGGGCAGCAAACTGAGCAAGTAGACCTACCCTGAATGCAGGAGGCGCCATCCAATAAGCTACGGGCATAGGTGGAATAAAAGTAGAGGAAGCTAGCAACACAAGTTCTTCTTTTCTCTCTGCTTCTGCCCTGAGGTAAGCTTTCCTCCACCCTGCCTGTCCACCATGGTTCTACTTTACATGGCCAGTCTAAAAGCAACAGGGCCAGCCAACCATGGATTGAAAGCTCTGAAGTCATGAACCAAAATAAATCTTCCTTTCCTTTGTTTATTTCAGTGTTTTGGCATAGCAACAAAAATATGACTTACCCATCTTCTGTCAGGCCATCAACTCTTACCAGCAGCCCCATCCCTTCTAACAATAACCCATATATATCCAGGCAAATGCATAAACATAAAACCTTTTTTCCCCCTCTCATACAAATGGTAGCATCTTAGGCTGGAAATGAAGCTCAGTGGCAGAGCTCACACCTTGCTTGAGATTCAGGAATTTAAAGAGCCTTGATTTCAATGGCCAGCACCACACAAAAAAAGGAACATACCACAAACATTATTGTGTGGCCTGCTTGCTTTTTCAAATGTAATGATGTATCTCAGAATATTCTGGGCTGGGAGTGTAGCTCTATGATAGAGCACTTGTCACCATGCACAAGCTAGATTCTATCTCCAGCACTGCAATCAATCAATCAATCAACAAACAAACAAATAGGAATATTGTGTACAAGTTAAGGTGAGTTCTCATTCATTTTCAGGCTGCAGAGCCTTGAATTGTATGTATGTATCATAACCAATTTAACCAGTCTCCTGTTGAGACTACAGAGTTTGTTTATATTTTATAACAATGCTGCTACAAATAATTGTGTCCACACAGGTTCTTTTCAAATGTGTGGGAATGTTTCTACAGAAAAAATTCTTAGAGCTGGAACTGCTAAAACAAAACACATTTGAAATGTTGATACACATTGTAAAATTGTCCTCCAGAGGGCAATTTACAGCCTGCAGGAGCAATGCCCAAGTGCTTAGCTCCCAACACTATCTTATCACACTGACTTAACTCCGTCAAAGATAGGTGACAAACATTATCTTGAAGTATTTTTATTTTGCTTGTCTATTATGTGTGAGCCTTTCTTTTTAAAAATGATCAGTAGTTCCATTTTCATATATGATGTAATCACATCCTTTGTTCATTTTTCTATTTGGTTGCCTCACATGTCCTTATTTATAGGAACTCTTTTATACTGAGGAAATCAGTCCTTTCTCTGAAACACAAATTAAAAATATCTCCCCATTTTGTAATTAAGCTTTTAATTCTGTTTACAATGTTCCTCACAAGTTTAAAATTTTGTTTTCTTTTTTACTATTTCAAATTTAACTTATCTTTTATGGCTTCTGAATTTTTAAGTAAATCTTTAAAAATCTTCCATCCTCCAAGTTTCTGGAGAAATTTAACCTGTGGTACCTTTTGATTATTTGATTATTTGATTTTTTACATTTAAGTCTTTGATCTACTTATCATTTTCTTCTGATATAAAATTTAAGCTATGATACCAATTTATTTTTCCCCCAGAAAACATAATAATCCATATTTACCAACATTTGAATAAAGTCTAAATACCTGTAAATATCTACATCAAATTCTAGATGGTTTATCCTGTTTGTGTCTGTCTCTTCACACAACAGTTTTACATGTTCTAAAATTTGATGAGGCAATTAAAAGTCAAATATGAGGGCATACGTTAGGCAAAAATTACTAACAATAATGCCACAAAACAACTATGTAATTAGATACCTTGCTTTAGGGATAGAAAGGAAAATGCATACACAGAAATTTAATAAAATACAGATGGGGTCTTACTGGTGCACCTGATTTCTTCAGGTAGAAAAAGGCAACCTTAAAGATGCACATTTTTAAATCCAGGGCCAGTTCTCAGTGTTGACTCTAATGAAACACACATGAAGACACTATGCACCAGAGAGCAGGTTCTTCATGTGCAATTCCTGCAACCCAGCCAGCATGGCTCCTTCTGCAGAGTAAAGGAGAGCAGCTCCATCACAAGGATAACCTTGATCCTGGCCTATTTTTCTTTAAGCACTTAACAAGGGCCAGTCCTCTACCATTACTATATGTGGCTGAGCCACAACTAATCTATCACAACGTGTCAGCTGAGGGGAAATCCTGTAAAAGTTTTCCTTAACCCACAAGAGCTCTTAGAATACTTTTCTGCAATATAGCACCAGTGACACTACACTGCTAAAATGTAATACCCTGAAAGAGCCAACTACAAGCATACTTACCTTGCCGCAGAACATCGGAAAACACATTGCTAGAGATTTCTTAAAGCCAGGGGAAATCTCTGCAAGGCTCACAAAATCAGTGAATGCCTAGTGAGGTATGAATTCATTAAATGAACACTATAAAGTAAAAGCACATGCCATTTTTACTGTAATAAAATTCCAAAAGCAAAGAAAATTTTTAAATCTCACCATTATGCTATATTTTTTAATTTGAAAGCTTTGTATTTACACAAATCCCCAAAGGATAAGGCTGTGAAATCTTCACTCTTACCCTCAACATAAGGCCCTTCTTTAGGATGCTCTCGGACTCTCAAATTGAAGGTTTTAGATGACTTCCGCCTAAGCAGGTCTCTCACACGTTCGTTATAAATTTCTAAGTAGCTAAAAATTTTAAATAGAATTGAATTTAGAAGAGGAATTTTGAGACCATAATAACAATAACAGCACCAAGACTCAAATCATCAGCCACGCACATGCATGGGCAGTGGCTGTACCACATACAATACTCAGCATAAAGTGCTGAGAAGGCAACTAAAAGTCAAGTATGAGGGCATACGTTAGGAAAAAAATATTAACAATAACTTCCATGGAGTTTTTCACTTAATCCTGACAACAGCCCAGTTGCAAGGACTTCTCTTATCCTCATTTTATAGGTCAGATAGAAAAGGTGGGGTGTGTGGGGGGTGTCTTCACGTGATTTGAATAACATATTCAAAGGCCACAAAGCCACATAGCCACTAAAGACACTCAGCTGTGAGAAGCAGAGATTGACACATTCATCTTCAAAGCCACTGAAAAGGCCGGCTGTCCACACAGGTTTACTTCAAAGAAAAGCAAGACTTTTTATAGGTTGGATTTACAGTAATCCTATCAACACAAAGAATAACACAACCTTTCCTCAGCCAAAGGAAAGAGGCAAGTAATTGGTATACTCTGTAAAAGTCAAGGGCTCACCCTATTTGAGACAAACATCAGAAATGTTACCATTTCTGACCAAGCTATGTTATTTCCTATCCAAATTGGACCCAAGAAAGTCATTGAAATCCTAGTGTTTTCAGCCTTACTGCCAACTACCATAAATACAGAAGAGGAAAGGGCAGACCCTCTGTGCAGGAACCTAAGGCCTTACTCCTTCCTGGTAGCTATGTCCTCGGCATGCAGCCTGGGTCTGGCCAAGCCTATCCTCACCCTGCCATGGTCCTACCTGACTTCAGTTCGAAAGGATGCTTCATCCCATCGGGTGGTTTCATGTATCCGACTGAAGAGCCCTTCACAGATCCGAGGTATTAAGCCCAAATCACCCTGCAAAGAAAAGGCGAAATGACACAGCTGTGCAGGAAACAATATCAACTGATGACTAAATCTGCATGTTGCTGGAGAGGACTTTGACTCAAGGGGCCTGTCAACCTAACCACCTAAGCCCCAGACACACCTCTGACCCCTCCAAGACTGCTTCCTACTCTCTAACTTAAGAGGATGGAGCCTTCTCATTTCTACATGCTCGGACTTGGGTAAAATATGATTAGAAGCTGTTGTTCAGCTAACTTGTGGTTTGTAAAGATAAGGAGATTTACTCTCTAGCTATCAAACAATATCATCTACAGCTGTAGAGTAAATGTTTAAAATATCTGGATAAATGACCAAAGAACAGAAAATGTACACTAGGAGAAAAGAAACACTAAGAACATCTTTGTAAGTAATACTGTCTTAAAACTTGGATGATAGGGCCCCATTAAAACATGGTATGCCCCTCTTTTTTGTTACAGGCATCCCTACCCTGGCCTTCTGAGAAAGGAAGATTTTAATAGTACATCATATCAAATAGGTAATGAGGATATAATATTCAATAAATATTACTGTCTCATTCAGCACTAGTAAGCTGGTGAACCTCAGAGTGATACTCGAGATCAGGCATAATGTTATCATTAAGAAAACAAAACCTCAGAGACTCCAAGTCACTTCCTACGTTTACCCATTCCCCACTCAAATAAGAATCAATGGTTTAGGAGACATTTTTATTCTTTATATTATTCAATCAGTGCAAATTCCTATCAAGGAGAACTCAGCCTTTCACCATATTTTTGTTTCTCATTTCAAAGTAAAGAATACCTATGCAGTATTTACCTATAAGGTCAGAGAAACATTTATATTTTACAAATACTTTATAAATGTTTGACATATAAAAACAGCTTCTAAGGAATCAACGAACACATTTCATTTTTAGAGACCTTGTGTCTAAAGACACAGTAGTAGGAAAGTAGGGAGAGAAAAATAAGGATGAAAGGTAAATGCAAAACACTTCAAATGATCTGTTTGTTCCTCTCATCTACCATTCCCTATTTTTCAGCACTGAGGGTGTGCAGCAGCGCAAAACTGCCAGACATCCAGTGTAAAGAAATGCCTGGGTTGAGGAGGTCAGGTTCCATGCCCAGGGACAACTCCAGCTGGGGAGACCTGTTCTCCTCTAACACGCCACTGTCATGAGCAAGCAAGCCTGTAACCTGGAACTTGGCCGAGCCTGCTGGCAGGCAGCCCACAGTGTCGCAATGTGCTACAGACCAGGTAGTCACTGAATAGCACTTTCACTGCAACTTAAGAAAAACAAAACATACAAGCCCTCTAAATCTGGAGAAAACACCAAACACAATGAAATTCCTGCAGTAAAGTCTAATTTTGACTCCTCCATACTTTGGGACAAGTATAACATTAATGCCTGTTAATTTAATAGTCTAACTACTAAACTGTACATACTATGTTCATAACCACAGAACTCTATATGGACTTTGTAACTCTTAACTTATTTAATGTATTTTCTGAATTTATGTAATACTTTTCCATCAAAAAGTTAGATTTGCTTTTTTATATTTTTCTTGAGGAAAAATGTTCTGAATTATTTTAAAAAGAACAGACTTTGGTAATCTTATTCAAACCGTTGTGCTGGCAGAAAAGGAGAATAAATTACTTATGGGCCCAGCATACTTTCTTGATAAGATTATAAGGCCTTTAAAAACAGGAAATGAACTGGGAGTTGCATCCATTATTCATGCTTATAAACTTAAAGCAATTTCTAATTTAAAATCTCTCAAAGGAAATTTACTCCAACTTATTACTTTTATCTTATTACTAAAAAATGATCAGAACACGGAAAGCAAGTTAGTATAAACCAAGCAGATAAAAGAGACAATTATATCAGACTAGAGAAAAATAAGTTTTCTTCCAACGCAACATAAGCAACATACAGAATCTCCCATCATAGTGTATGACTTTCCAGATCCAGTTTGCCCATATGCAAAGACACAAGCATTATAGCCTTCAAATGCAGATTTCATGACATCTGTGCCCAGGGTTTGGAAAACCTAAAAGACAGAAAATCACAAACACAAAAGATACAGTTACTATGGATTCCAATAAAAGCCCTTGCAAGGTTGGCAATATTCTCAAATGCTACTTTCCTCTCTTAGTGATTGTATCACATAAATAAATCACTGTGGGAACAGTTAGCAACAGAATATGCATGTACCCCAGTTTTTGATCAAAAGTAAACTTTCTAAGCAAGACCATTCTCTTTCCCACTTAACAAAACAGTTCCTGAAATATAAAAGTGTAAACAAGGCAAAGTGACACTCGAGTCTAGAAGATGATTTTAAAACATGTTGATTTGCCATCCAGAAATTATAAAGCTGTTCATTCTATCAGAATCTCCAGAAACTAAATATTCAAAATGTGAAAGACACAGCACCCAGAAACCACTGTCTGAACCACATCAAACCAAAGCTCCCATTTTAAGGGCCCACGCTTCATGCAGGCAAGTCTCTAGAGGTTCTGAGTAAAGTGCCTCTATGGACAAGGCCAGAATGGCTGGACTCCCCCATGATAAAGACAAGATGCTTTTTCCTATGTGGATATCTTCTCAGGATGAAGAGCACAGGGGCAAGCTGTGTGGAGATGGCCTTACAGCTATAATGGCCTACGTCATGTCAGAAGCACCACATAGTCGAAACTTTGAGAATAAAAGAGGATGAAGTACAAATATTTCAGGAAGACAACTGATATAAATGAAACAAATCAAGATAGGAAATCATCCTTGTCATACCCAGCTGGGAAGAGCCAAACTAGATCTTCTGTCCCCTAAGTCCAGCACACAAAAGACACATGAAATATCTCTTTGCTTCAAAAAGGTGGAACATCAGCAATGGGTAAGATGTCAAAGGGAGGGCACTCAGCAGTCCTGCTCACAGTCAGAGACACGAAGAAGTGAGGCGGGGGCTCCTGGTGGGAGCAGACATTCTGTGAGTAAAGCTCCACTACAAAATCAGGAAGTCAGTTGGATCCACCAAAAGTCACCTCCAACTGTGAGTGCCATGCTAACCCCACATGAGAATCATGTGGGAGAATTCTGAGAAGTCTCACCAGCCAGGCCAGTAACAAAGCCCAGTGAAATACAAATCTGAGGAGTGTGAACCCAGGAACTCAAACCTTCCAAGTAGTTTCAAAGTATAGGAAAGTTGACAAACCTAGCCATCTCAGCACTACATTAAAAAAAAAAAATCCCTGCTAACATAGTAGCTGTCATTCAAGGATGAGGGAAGAGTACAGTGAACAGGACTTTGGCTTTCTTCAACATCATCTTGTTTGGACTTTGTTTCCTCATTCTCATCATTAAAAGATTTACAGAATACCATTTTAATTGAGTCACTTAGACAAATGGCCAAAGCCATCTATTCTGAGTTGATTTCTACCCCTTTAAGCTTTAGGAGCTCTTATTTTCTGATCTTATCCCTGTATTCTGATGACTTAGTTCCTGACTAACAGCAGCTAACACTTACTGGACACTTTCTAAGCCCTTCATATATGATGGTCAATCCTCATGAAAATACTACTGGGCTGTCAGCACTACTAGACCTCAGGTAAAGACTGAAAAGGAAATGGGAGAGCACCAGGCATTTACCACAGAGTGGCAGGGCTGACTGACTCCAAGGCCCTTATTCTAACCCCTTGTCCCACCGCTATGAGGCCCCAGTCCTAACTGAAAGGACTCATCCCTAAAACTCAATTACGAAGCAAAAGCCAGGATCCCAGGGGACTCAGGACTCCAGCCCATCAGCTTACAGTTCACTTTTCACCCCTGTGTATGGTATATAAGTAAAAACTCCCAGATTAAAGAAATATCAAAAGGCAAGCATTATTCTCACAATTTCACTGGTTAAGAAAGAGTCATCCAGGAACTTTCAAGGAAATAAAAGAAGAATCTGGGCTAAAGCCAAATCATAGAAAATACTGTTATTTAAACCAAACCCAAAGGTTTCTACAGTGAAATTCTTCCCTAACATAAAAAGCCACCATTTAATTACTATTTCAGCAGAAAGCTAACCCAGGAGGTTTTCTGATAGACTCAGGGCACAGGGGGGCAGGGATTGGAGGACACAATGGCAGAACAGCCTAGAAAGCAGGCCTGGCTCACTCTCAGCTTCAAGTATCCATAGTCAGCACAGGATCACAGAAACAACAGGCACAGGTGACTCCATCTTGTTCCCACCAAGGACTTATCTATTATCTGCCACCATAGCAAGGTGGGAAGGGGAGGACAGTCCAAAGAGACCTACAACCTCACTGGCATCAAATCTGTTAAAATCCCTCACCTGGCCTGCTTACCCAACGTCACCTTGCTGCTTGCAGAAGCACCTGGCTTTACAGCTAATTTGCAGAGTAAGACAGGTATCAGGGGCCTTCCTGGAGGGGAACCACTCAGGAGAAGGTACAGCTAAAGCAAAGACTCTCCCACCCCACTTGGAAATGGGAAATTTTAGGTTTCAAGTTTCTCCAGGGTTGAATTAACAGGTTCTCTAAGATCAAAGTCTCCCTTTGGAGTTTTTGAAGAACCATTAAGAAAATTAGACCTTACTTAATGCTCTTTAATGTACATGACCATGAATTTAAATTGCTCACTTATTTATTTTCTAATTTTAAAATAATGGTCATCTTACATACTATTTGTTTAATATCAAGGGAAAGTGGTCTTGGGCTATACTAATTAATAGGAATGATGTATTTTCTCAACACATTTTTACATTTAACTGATTAAAAAAAAAAGGCACAGTCTAGCCAGAGTCTTTCCCTGATAAATTGTAGGGACACAACCTGCCTGCTGGTCACTTTCTGTGCCTGAAGGGGCAGCATGACAGCCTTAGTCAATATTCACACTGAACCCCTCTTTTGTAACAGTATTAAAATTAGGGATGAGGGAAGAACTCATTATAATACTGTAAAAAGAGATACTTTCCTGTATCATACTGGCTTATTAACAAGTGGTTATAAAAGAATTGTGTTTAGGAACACATCTCAAGTCTGTTTTTAGATCTGTAGCTTAATGGAACCACTTTAGGTTACTCCCTGGAGCAAAAGGCTGGGAGCACCTGAGAAGAGATACTGCACAGGTGTGTACAGCATGAAAGTTGTCCTCATCAGGAAAGGCTTCTCACAATCTAGAACTATTTATAAACTCTGAGCATTTATACTTAACTTCCAAATGAAAGAAAATTGTCCCTGCTTGCCTGATCTTGACTCCTATAAAACGCAGGAAATGTCATCTGTTCCCATAAATTAAACATTCATTATCTGTAAACAAGTTCATTGGGTCAGCATACATTCAAGGAGCCAGGTCCTGCTGTCACACAATACTCAGCTGCTGTTTCCCTCGGCTTTCCTACTGCACAGCCCTCTGTCCCCAAAAGACCTCAGTTTATGTTAAATGAGGGGAAAATTCACCAGCTTGATAAATAAGTTAAAAAAGAAGCCCTTCGAGGCTATTTATTCATCCTGCATTGAATACATTCTAGAGATCATTATACCAAACTGGTTTTCCCTTAACAAATGCCCTCACATCTGCCACTTAATTCCTACATTAAAGCCAAAATCTGGATCCAGATATCTATACTATTGTACTCTTTATCAGATTCCTAGATACTAACCCAGTGATGGTGAACATTTTAGAGCTTTCACTGTGCTGCAGGTTTGCCACCACTATACTAATCCATTCACCCTGACCCCAAAGTCATCTCCACTCACCCACTATTTGTCCAACAAGCTGCTCATCAATCATCTAGAACTCCTTATTTCTCTCTCAAACCTTTAAGACCATACATTTGTTCCGCAACCACCCTGGACATCATATCTAGTATCAATTCTGCTACTATTAAAATTCAATTAGGCCAAGTGCAGTGGTGCACATCTCAGTTCCCAAGTACTTAGGAGGCTAAAGCAGAAAGATCACAAGTTCAAAGCCAGGATGGGCAACTTTCCAAGACTTTGTCTGAAAATTACAAAATAAATAAAACGAGCTGGGGAGACAGCCAAGCACTAGAGCAGCCCTGGGTTAGAGCCCTGATACTTCACACTAGTCCCATAAACTAAAACAAGTTATTTAAGCTTATTTAGTCTCTCAGGAAAAGGAAAATGGAGTTTAAGTTCATCTTACTAGTTACCGTGGGAATTAAGACAGCACAAAAGAACATGAGGCAAAGTGTCTGACACCAACACAAACTCAGGCAACAGCTCCTGGTCCTTCTTTACCAATGGTCTCTCCTCTCTGTGTGGTTCCCATTCCCACTGCTGCTATCCCTCTGTACACTCCCTGATGTTTGGCTCAACATATGGATAGTGTCACTCCAGTCCTTCAAAATCACACTTACACTGTCTAAGAAAGCCAATCTCCTCCATCAACTACTTCTAAACAAAGTGCATTTCTCAAATGTCAGGATGCATGCAAATCACTGAGCTTCTAAAAACAAAATGCAGAGTCTCAAAAAAAAAAAACAGATTCAGCAGCTATGAGCAAGTCCTGAGACTTCACATTTCTAACACATTCCAAGACAACACCAGAATTCTGCTACACAGACACACTTCAAGCTGTTTGGAACCAGAACCATTTTCTTGCTCTACTTTACAAAAAGCCACTGCCTGGATTACAGCCCAGGAAAAGCAGGACAGGAATTCCCATCCCTGTTTTACCACATGGAGATCTGAAGCATTGTATCTAGAGAAGCTGTGACAAGCATAGAGGAGGCCCTGCAAGGAAACTGCAGTCTACTCCCATGCCAGTGCTCCCCACTCTGCACACACACACCCAGCCTATCCCCACCCAGGAAAATACACCTATCCTTCTGTCACATCAAATGCCACCATCAGTGTCCAACAGGACACTGATGTCTCCATCCTGGAGTGAGAGTCTCCAGGGGCACACTCGTGTCTGCTCTCATCTAACCAGGGCATGCCTACATTTTAGCACTTAAAGGACTACAGGACAAGTTTGGTGGACAAATTCCAGCATCAATCTACATTTTAGAAAGGCTCTAGATGAAACATTCTTTCTGCACTGTTTTCCACACAAGCAGATGAAATGTGACTTAGGTTTGAAATTTACTTCCTAAGCTCTGTATTGCAGCAAGACTCAAGGCCAAGTGACTTATTTGCTGGCCTTGAACATATTTGCACGATGCTCCCCAAAATATTTAAAGCTCTCTCAAAACAGCAGCCATGTCCAAGTTTTGAAACCAAGTAAAAGTTATGATCACTATGTTCAAAAGTGAAAGAAAATAATTAATCTTTTGAGAACTGAATACGTCTCAGCCTTAAACAGTCCTAATAGTAATCAAAAAGCTAATTTTAAAGGGGCTAATTTTTATAAATTCTATTCAGAAAAAAAATAGCAAGCTGTTTGGAAGTGTTCTAAAGCAGGCATGTTTTTCTCAGTATGAAAATAAAACAAAATAAAGATTATGAAAATATCACATCATACCATTTCTTGTGAAATATAATCTGGACTCTTTGTATCAGCAGAATAAAAAGAAAAGTCATAGGTGAAGGTCTTGGTGCGTTCTCTTCCTGAATCCCCAGTCCCTCCTTCTGGTATCTAGAAAGATGATGACAATGACAATGATAAAGATAATGGTGATAATAATATAAACATTATTGTTATTTTACAAGTGACCCATATTAGAAAAAGATCTATTCTGAATCATAAAATTATCACCATTATTTACACCATTTCAAAAATATTTATACCCTAAGAAGTGCCTGCTGGCCTCTCTGAAAAATAAGTAAATGAATAAACCTTAAATGCAACCTAAACTCCCCCCACCTCATCACTCCAAGCTGTGCTGTGACTCATGGCTACTATTCTTGCCTTTTCTATTATGAGTAATTCATATCAACCCAGCATTCCAAGCAGATGGTTTTACTATCTCCAATTATCTTACTATCTCCACCAGAGGGGCAGGGCTTTGCACAACTCCAGGATGCTATTCACACAGACTGTGATGGGGCTGGAGTTGTGCAATTTGGTGGCCCTACTGGCTACCCCAGGTCAGATGTCTCTTCATAAAGTTTCCCTAGTGCACTCAAGGAAAGTAATTTCTCCCACCTCTGAGACACAAAAGTCTCCTGGGACACATCATGTTTTAAGTTTATTACAGATGTTTGCATGTCTTGTCTACCATGCTATATGCTTCAGCTGAACCCAAAAGTCATGTTTAAAAATCTCCAAAAGCATCAAAACCCTCACACAGTTTCTTAGACATAGCAAAACAGCTTCAATGAGTGCCATATTTTTCAACATATTCATCTATTGTAAAGAAACAATTAGGAGGGCCAGAGATTTAGCTGAATGGTGCTGCCACCTATCTCACAAGTTCAAGGTCCTGAGTTTGATCCCTGGTACCAAAACAACAACAAACAATTAATAAAATATTAACAATTAAAATAACAACACATTAAAACATTAAAAACATCTAGGCATCTACTCCAGTCACTCAAATATTAGAGGAGAAAATGTTTGTAAAACATAAAACGCAACAGAGTAATCAAGGCAAATGGATGCCACAATGCACAAAGGAAGCACATCCAAGGCAAACAAAAGGGAATTAGCAGCAGGGATGACTGGTGGAAAGCCAAAAGGATGCAGTAGGCCTAGGGATGGAAGACAGTGTAGCTACAGAGCCAGCATGCAGGGGGCTACACTAAGTGAGAAAGAGGACATCTCAGCAGCAAATGCTTCAGGCCAAAGGACACCAGAGTGCAGAAGGGGCCAACATGTTATCCAGAGTGCTGTGCAACAGGAAAGGTGGCAGATTCCCCACTAGAGATCAAGTTCCGCTGCTCTGAAAGTGGATTCTGTGTGTCTAGGCTCTTGAGCCACAAATTAGTAGAAATCCATTCCTCTGTAAACTGGAGAATGACTTGTAAACTTGGCCATAGAACAGCAGGCTCAGAAACCCAAACCCAGAAGAACAAAGATCAAAGTAGAAAGGACCTAACCCCAAAATCACAAGCCGTCCTTATTACTAATTTTATACCCCTCTTTCCGCCAAGTGAAAAATATTATGATCGTTAAGAAATGTGATGATCAAAGAAACACACAGGATATTTTGAGTGCAAAATGTAGAATCTGACATTCTGGAAAATTGTTGTTTCCTATTTTTTCCAGAAAATATTGCATGTTTTTGTTGTTTGTTTTTTCATCTTTCATCTTCTGAGTTTTGAATAACGCAGTAGCAGCTCTTCAAATGCAGGTGAAGACTCCCACTCAGGCTCCCAGGATGAAAACACCTGTGTCCAGCTGTTCCAGACTCAGGAGCTCCCAGAGCAGGGTGACACTGTGGGCCTGTCTTCTAGATGAAAGAACCAGGAATGGGAGAAGAAACCTGTTTCTGCTCCACTACTGCACCTGAGTCAACAGCAAGCTAACCTAGCTAGCTTAACTATGGACAGAAGGGTGTAGAGGTAGCAGGCAAGCTTTATTCACCCAGAAGTCACACCAATAGGAGAGCAAATGTGGGGCACATGGAGATGCAGGGGTTCTGGGTCATTACTTGCCTTTAAGTTTGTGATTGTTGTCTTGCTTTTCTCCATTTGAATAATGAACTTGGCCTCCAAGTCCTTTTCCCTAAAACATAAAACAATGTAGTATTGGTTAGGAGAGAAGAGATTATAAAATTTGTTTCATTTGCATTTTACATGTGGAGCTTTTGTTATGCAGAAGTATCTAAAGAGTCATCTCTAGTAACATTCTTCAAAAATTCTTACTAATATTAAATACAAGACATACAAAACAAATGCCACTATTAAAAACCAATCAATGATGTTGTTAAAATCTTGAAAATTTTCTAAATGAGACAAAAGTAAATGAAGGAATGTGCCTCAAGAAAAAAAGCAGTCCTACACAACTAGTAGAAAAAGACGCTTAGTGCCTCTACTATGGATAAAAACTAGAGTAAACAAAAGGAAGTTGGTCATAACTAGGAACCACTTCCACAGACAGCCAAGATTTGTTCTCTTCTCCAATCATCTTGTTCATTATTAGAAACTGAGAGTCAAGAACTGTTAAGAGGACAATTCTCTAGAATAAATGACTATGTATCTACACAACTTCCATGTGACACCACTGAAGAGGGCAATGAGGAAGATTTTTATAAACACTATGATGTGGTCACCAACATCCCTGGTTAGGTGGAGAAAAATATGCAAGTGGTGCTAAACTTATGAAGTTTGACTTTCAATTACTGGTCTATGCAATGGAGTAAGAGCAATGTTACTCAGTAGGAACCAATCTTTGAATTCTGATCCTTTCCTAGGTTAGTGGTACATGTGGTCTGATGCTCACCAGTAATGCTGGGCAGCAGCAGCAACTACAACCCCCAGATCACAAGGATAAACAACCCACGGGACTCTACAGTACATTGTGTTGCTAAGCTCTGATGAGCCACAGGTTGGGTGTATTCAATGCATTTTCAACTTAAGACATTTTCAACTTTGAGACACAACTCCACTGTAAGTCAAGGAGCACTGTATATAAAATGCTATCCCTCATATGGAAAAAATAAAAACAACAGCCTAAGCATTTTTTCAAAAGGCTACTTATAGAGAAACAAGAAAATGGAGTGGAAAGGGCAGTGATAGAAACTACATTTCTTCAGATATGACTTGATCTGTAAATCATCTTCAGACAGATGAAACTACTGTACACAGAAATAAAATCATTATAAATTATTATAAAATGATATAACACCTAAATGTAAGTTGAAAAAAATAAGGCAAATTGTATATCACAGAGCAGGAAATTATTTCAATTTGTATGGAAGAATGACACTGTGTCATGACATATATCATCAAGCTTTAGTAACTGTATGTTTGGTGCTCATTTTGTGATTTTTTTGTGTGTGTGCATTATGGGATAATGGGTGAGGGATTATGTTGGTATCACTGAAAGCCACTGACAGTAAGAAGCCCTGCATGGTTATAAGAGATAAAACATAAAATTAATGTGGTTAAATAAAAACTCTGTACTCCTAACTCTGAATAAGAAACAACAGCATGAACTTTCTCTAAATTAAAACAGAACAAAACACCCTACAGGTTTCCCTAACCCTAAAATCTGAAACTCAAACTGCCAAAGTTAAGAAGTTTCTGAGCACCAATATCGTCACAAGCTGAAAATTAGAGTAAAAAATACAGGCACATTAAAAATACTGTAAAAATTTATCTTTAGGCTCTGTGTCCAAGGAATAGTCCTACCAAAAACTGGGAAATAATTGAAAGAATTGGTAAGTAAAGAGAAAAAAACATGCACTTAACCCACAGTTCCTAAATAACCAATCATTTCATGGTAATTAAACAGCAGTTTAGGGAAGTTTCTACTTTGGAGGCATTCCAGCAAAAAATGAAGAAGGACTGACAGAATTAAAAAGTCATCCTTTTGTCACCCTTGGTGAATTGATGGCCCTTGGAACAGTGAAGGTGAACTACAGGAGGCCAGACTGTAACCACGCTGGGAAGGCTATAAAACATTACTGAATTGGCTCACAAATTGGCTATTAAATTGTGAGTCTATCCTAGGCCTATGTGTGACTTGCTAGATTGGCCTTTGCCTGGCATATGGAAACAGAACTCCCTATGCCAACCATCACGATTGAGATCTCAACAATCAATGATACTGTGACGTCTCTGATGGCAAGATGACACTCCAGCTGAGGATTTATGACTTCCAGGCAGCTGCTCTCCCAAATCAAACCTTGGCTAACAATAACACAGGTGGCTTGTTAACTACAACCTGTCCTTCACAAGAATGCATAGTTTCTTCCTTTTACAAGCCTGGCTCACTAGTGCCTTAGTTCTGCTGTTCCTTACATCTGCCTTTACACCCTCTTCTATGTTGTGTAACTAATAAATACTGACAAGTCTGAAACCAGGAAAAGCTGAGATCAAGTCCTGGCCCTCCACTTGAACAACTTTTTTGTCTCTTGTGTATTATGCTTTCATCCTCTGCTGTACTTAGTCAGGTGGCCAAGCATCCCCCAATAGTGAACCTTTTAGAAAGTGAGAACCCAAACTGCAATCCAAAATTCACTTATTTATTGTAAAGTGCCAACACTGCAATTAAACCTGCATGCTTGAATGGTGGGGTGATGGCTGAGGCGACTTGGCTCACATGCCAATACAGATGGCTTTGCATGCCTGCTGCAGCACACATGCCCTAGGTTCACTATCACTGCTCTAGGGAATGCCACCGCCGGCTGCTATCCCCCAACTTCCATGAGACAGCCAGGTGTGATGTATGTCCTTCCTGAAGCCCCAACACCACCACACAGGACTCCTGTCCCTGTCCCACTCTGACCCACACAGAACCCCAGGAGATACTTACAGAAAAGCCAATAAAATCTCCATGCTGGCTGGAGTGAATGTATGTCGAAACTAACCCTTTGGTGTATGCATTCCTTGTAGACGAGGTGGTGGGTTAAAACCTCCAAATATGAAAGGAAGAAAGAAGGCTCCAGTACCTTCTTTTCTTCACATCTTATTGACCAATTCTGTTCATCCCATATCCTCCACTGGAGACTCTGGCTTCTTTCTGCTAACGGCCTTTTCTTTGCCCCCAAGGCCTTTAAGCACTAAGGTGACTTTGAGGTCCACATGACCCACCAAACAGCCTTACTCCCATTCCCCATCCGACAGCCACTACTGTCCAAGACAGCACCTACTCATGTGGCCACATCTCCCTACTCCACAGTCACAGTCACAGGTCAGTCACAGCCTCCTCTTGGTCTTGCTCTCTTTGTCAGTGGCCTTGCCCCTCCCATCCATACTTCAAAATCTGCTGTGGGGACAGAGACTTCAAAATGCACATCTCACCATGAAGCTCCCCAGCTTTAAATTCCTTCAGCAACTTCTCAAAGCTACAGGATATAGTCTCAATGCCTTGCAAATTTCTTCCTAATCTGATCCTGTGATCTGACCCTAACTCACACTGACATTCCACCATTGCATACTATCCTACCCAGGTCCCTGTTCACCTCCCAGGCATACCTCTGGCTCAGCCTTCACACTCTCTAGAAAGCCTCCACAGTACCCACTGCCTTGTTGCCTATTTAGACAGCACTACTGCATGTCTCCCTACTGGACTATGAACTTTCTAAGAGTAAGGACACTGCCTGTCTGCTTTAACACTCTCTGCACTGGCACAGTGTTGCAACTTTGCCATGCTTCAGTTGCTTGCTTGCCTGAGCTGGACTTTCTGAATTATTAAATGGATGGCTCTTAATCAGCCTACTCAGTGCTACCATCAACCACCTACACTGGCTCCCTACTGACCCCTACATTCTTGGTTCTCACCTCCCACACATTATGCCATCTTCCCACTGCCCATCCAACCTACGTACTAATGGGCTTTCAGAAACGACCTTCCTAACTCTTCCTCTGAATTCTACTCATATTGACTTCACCCCTGCTATGTCAACTCTCTCACTGGTCCAGAGAACACCAGAGAAGCATGGATCAGCTTCCTTCACACCCACACCCAAGTCCATTCTCACATGGGCAGTGCTCACAATAAGCACTATGCAGTGCTTTGTCTTTTAATCCTTCAGCCGAGACCATACAACACAAGGCACTGAAAGCTCTCTAGCCTCAGGTCAATATCCTCTGACATTTAAGAAACATGGGAAATAAATCTTGACATTTTTCTTATATTCAGAAAAATAAATAATACTAAAATATTATTTGAACATTGATTTGATAATAGAGCAAAATGAACTATGTCTCTCCCAGCCACTTTGGTGAATTGGGTTTCTCGACCAAAAAGTCAATTATGGTTCCTTCATATAAATAAGTAATTTATTTGAAAGGTCTAGAAACTAGATCAAAGATGTTACAGCTAAAGTATACTGAGTTATAGATCAATATCAGAGGGGTTAGGGAAGGAAAAGATTTAAAATATCCAATCAGAGAAAGAGATAAACTCTGTCAGTTTACAAGATATGTGAGTAGGAAAATAACTTACTAGAAAAAAAAAAAAAAACCTATGTGAATCCAAATATGTTTAAAATGTTTTTAAATTATTCAGCAATTCAAATTGATTCCACCCATTCAGCTAATGGTATTTGGTCACTCCACAACACATAGCCCAACTGGGGGAAGACTGAGATCTCCAAACTGAACCGTAGATGAGGTAGGAAAATAGGGCTGGTGCAAACCAGACAACTAACTGAGCAGAATGAGTCAATGGTCAGAAAAACCCGGAGAACATGCACAGAACACAGGATGCAGAAAGACTCCATGGTTCCTGAGCACATGGAACCAATCAGAAGGCGATATTCTCAGTCCCTCATTTGAATCTGGTGTTATTTGCCGATTCAATCAGAAAAGCGCTATTTTCAATCCTTCATTTATCTGTAGAGAAACCAAGTAAGTCTTCTGATTGAGTGGTTTAAATCTGGCACCAAGCCAAGTGAGTTTTTGGAAAGACAAATGTCCCAATGCCTTATGTGCATGGGAGGAAGCCAAGCTGGGAATTTCAGATATAAAAGACCCCATTTCCTTATCCTCAGGCCACTGTGAGCCTGCTCTTGCCAAGTAGAGCATACCTCTTTTCCTCCCCCAGTACATTTTTGC